GAGTTACCCTCTATATACATTGTTCTTTAACAAAAAGCTGAAAGTAGAAACGATAACATTTCTTAGTTTGCAGCTGGACAATCATCTGACTTGTACGGGACATATCGATTTTTTGCTTCACGTGTTGAGCACAGTTGGTTTTCTAATGCGAAAATTATCCTATATATTAAATATAAATAGTCTTAAAGCTGTATATTATGCATATTATCATTCACTGGTGAAATATGGAATAATATATTGGGGAAATACATCAGACAGTCACAAGGTCTTTGTTATACAAAAGAAAATAATAAAAATAATGATGGGAATGGGCCCAACTCATACATGTAGAGGCTTATTTAAAAAGCTTGGCATATTCCCAATCCTATGTGTATATTTGCTCTCACTGATGGCATTTGTTGTTAATAATATTGATAAGTTTCAGACCAATAGCTCTGTACATATGATTAGTACAAGAAGGAATGACCCACCTTCATATACCTACAACACATTTATCATCCTATCAGAGAGGGGTGTATTATTCAGACGTCAAGCTATTTAATACTCTGCCGTCAAGTATCTCATCTTTAAAAAATGATAAAAACAAATTTAGGCTTGTTCTACAAAATTATTTGCAAAGTAACTCTTTTTATTCTATTGACGAATATATTGAACACACAAAAAACTCAAATGTTAATAGTGAATACACAGTCTGTGTGCTTATATTATATGTCGTTAGACTTTGCTTGTGTTAAGTGAGGAAGTAAATGTAACAACTGTATTTCTATGAATTTTGAAATATGTTAAAATTGAACTATATTGGTAATACAGTTGGCAAATGCATGTAGAATAACCAAACGTACAATTATGCAGTATAGAATTATTATAGTTGGAAATATGAAAGATTTTATTCAGGGTCGAATGTGACAACAGTGTTTCCACAACTTATGTATATTGTCTTGGCAACTTGTGCTGCCTGCATGAGGCCTGATTTATATACTCTGTTGGACCTAAGATGACGTTTAGTTATCATAAACTTGTAATATGTGACATATTTTATACCCAGCCCTATGGGGAAAGAACTGGATCAATGAAATGAAAATAAAAGTAAATGTAAATGGAATAATTTGCTGCAGTCACCCTGCATCATATCACCCAATGTATCCCTCACTGTGAGAACACTGCATTTGAAGCGGAAATTTGCATATTTACGTCAAAATTCTGCTGGAAGAGCCAGTTAAAGCACAAAACATGTACGGGCCTACAATCACGCCATATTCCAGGATGAGTTCTCATCCCTCAGTGCTCCTTTATGGTAAACTTTCGTTCGGTTAGGTTAGGTGGGCTTACCAGAAACAAAATCTTAATCTGCACTTTTAATACACAACTGTGATAGAAACTGCTTCTCTGTGTGGCAACGATAAATGCCTTATTTTTTGTACAAAGGTACTATCCAATTGGTGCCTTACCTAATGATTTTGAAAACTATTTTCTCGGAGTGTTTGAAGTTTATGCGACTTAATTATGCAACAAAAGTTCCATAAATATGTTGTAACAATGCTCAATTCAAACTACCTTTGTAAGACGTGTGATAAATACGTATTACAATTAAAGATGTAACTATAACAAAAGAATTAACTTACCCATACTCCAGTACTAGAACATAAGATACGATAAAATGTTTTGGTTAAGCATTTGTGAACGACATTATTTGAATACAAAGTCTTCATTTTTAATTAATATGAAATAATTACAATGCATATGTAAAAATGTAAATATTCAAAACGGTCCCACAGATCAATGGATTCATATTTCAAATCGCATTCAACGCAGACACGAACGGTCATGAGCGGTCATGAGCGATATATCGTTAGCAGCGATTTTATCTCGGTTACTCAAATGAAGGCATTGACGTCATTGTTATCGCCACTGATACTCGAGACCGCTCTAGACGATCCGTGATATGCGTTAGCCAGTTTAGCTGCCGTAATCGGCCCAGATTGAATGAGGGTAAGGTGGAATTTAGAAGTTTGACGTGTATCCAGCTTTTTAACAAAAATATAGTTAAAGGTAATGTAGGGCAGAAAGATATAATATAAATGTGCATATTCTTCCGGTTTGTTTCTATAGTAGTTTTCAATCGAATGTGGTTAGTATCTTTGATGCAACCATAACCTACATAATATTTCCTTTCCAGCGGTTGTAGATGGAACAAGGTAGATCGTGTACAATGTCGAATATAAATCTTTCCTAATATATGTCATCCTGTAATAGTTGTACAGTTTATTATTTTTAAACGTTACTTATGTATTAATTTAATATATTCTTTTTGTTCTATTGATACACGAACTTAATAATAGCTTATTTTCTTGTTAACATGCTCCGTCTGCCACATAACCTATAGATTATTTTTTTTAATGTTCTAGTGGCAGCATGGCGCCGAAAAGGAATAATATGATCCCTAATGGGCATTTCCATAAAGATTGGCAGCGATTTGTGAAAACTTGGTTTAATCAGCCAGCCCGCAAATACAGGAGGAGACAAACTAGGATTAAGAAAGCGCGGGCCATTGCTCCAAGACCAGCAGCAGGCCCTTTGCGCCCTATTGTGCGATGCCCAACTGTTCGGTATCATAGAAAGCTACGTGCAGGAAGAGGATTCACTCTTGATGAGATTAAGGCTAGCTTAAATTGTTGCATTGATATCTTGTAGAAGTGCAGTAATAATTTTGTGCTCTTTCAACCATGAATTTAATTATGTATGTCCTCTGCAGGGTGCAGGCTTGAATGCAGGCTTTGCACGATCAATTGGTATTTCTGTTGATCACCGGCGTCGCAACAAGTCAGTGGAGTCTTTGCAGCAGAATGTACAGCGTCTGAAAGAGTACAGATCCAAATTGATTCTTTTCCCCATTCATCCTAACAAGAAACTGAAGAAGGGAGAGGCTAATGTAAGTTATAGTTCAATTTGATCATAGTTTTATTGCAGGATGCCATTAATTGTGGATGCTGTTGAATCACAGAATTGTATTTTCAGGAGGAAGAAAGAAAAGTAGCAACACAACTGAAAACAACAGTGATGCCTATAAAACAACCTGGTGTCAAATCTAGGGCTCGTAAAGTGACAGCAGAGGAGAAGAAATTTTCAGCTTTTGCCACACTTCGCAAGGTGAATTACTTTATAATTTTGAACATAAATGCCACTAATTTTATCATTATTTTAATATGTTCAAGCTAATAATTTATCAAGATGATGGATTATATAAGACTGAGGTTTTCATCGAGATGTGTGTCTTGGTTGCGTTACTGTGTAGACACCTTATTGATGGATACTAGTATTTTGGAAGAACATCCTATTTTGTCTGGCCCTTCAAGAATAGCTGTGTGTGTGTTCCCCCCCCCCCCTATTTGCAGTGTCCCAATGACGTAATTTTCTTACATTCTGTGTTCTGTTTGACACTCAGTTTTTCATGCACGTGTGTGTGTGTGTGGTGGCCCTGAAGATGGCCATTTTCTTGTCTTTGCATCATGTGTCTCAACTTTTCATGCAGTCTGCCTATATAACCTGACATGATCAACTTAATCGTTATAACAGTGGAGAGGTAGCCTTTTCCTGGGATATGTTGGTATATACTAATAAGACTGCACATTGTCACAACCCAGAAGACCATAATCTGAATAACATATATGATGTTATGTGATCACATGGCATATTGAAAGAAATTAAAGTTTGAATATGGGGTGGAAGGAATTTAAATTGTAAAAATGCTAAGTATTCTTTGTAGGTGTAATAGTGTTTATTTCAGTTATAATTCATAAATTTCTAGCAGTAGAATCATGCATTGAAACAAATTTTACAAACTGAAACATGACTACTCCCAACCTATTCAATACAATAATGAGACTCCTCAGTGAAAGAAAGGAATTGTTTGGAAAATATTGCTGCTTAATGATTGTGGTAATAATAAGTTTTGTAAAAAAATTCATTTTTATATGTTTATTCTTAAAGTGTGCATAAAACAGCTCGTTATTTATAAAGTTGGTATGTGGCCTAGGACACAGGTCTCACCAAGATTTAGATTCCAGCAGTTGATTTTTATCTGTAATAAACACAAGTCAAGACTTGAGGATGCAAAATTACAAAGAATGAATTTGGAAAATATGTACTTCACTTCGGAGGTCATTTGGCTCTAACTCTTGCTAGTATTTGGATCTACATCTTATACCTGTTGTTGGAATTTTCAGTACTGTTGTTAATTGACCACCACCCATTATGCTAGGTGCACATCTGGCAGTGTAGGGTCAGAAAATGTGTTATGGATTACAGATGTAACTAATTTTAAAGTATTCTTCATTGATGGGAGCTGTCTTTGTAGTTTGTACTGTATCTTCTGATATTGTGTTACAGGCTCGCACTGATGCCCGATTGGTTGGAATTAGAGCAAAGCGACTTAAGGATGCAGCAGAAAATCCTGATGTTGTGACAAAGCCTGGCAAAGAAGGCAAGAAAAAGAAGTAAACTGTGATTGTAACTTGCTGGATTTGTTTGAAAGTTAAAGACTTTGTATTATATAAAATAAAGTTGGAAACTCTCTATTCTTTATTTAATTGAGACCTCCCTTTAACAGATATGTAAAAACAACCTGATTTAATATCTGTAAGAAGTACCATGCTCTTTGTTTTTTTAATTGATCAGTGAAGTGTGTTTGTCCTAAGATTTTCTGTATTGATTATGTTAACAGGAAAACTATGATGTACTGCAGTTACTACCTGCTTTCAGCAGGGAATGTTGAAGTCTCCTTTATTCTCCCTGTGGTGCCTAGTGGTATTACTTAATGAGGCACTGAATTATAAATAAGATGAAGTTACATGGGGTATGATGGACTGAGTATGTAGCTAGAGGTGAACCAAAGAATACATAACAGAATTGAAGTGGTGAAAGTTCTTGGAAAAATGCCATTTTGAAAACCAAGGATGTTGTTGACAAATCATGAGCAGTGACAGAGGCCAGAAGACAGCATATTTCTGTATAGATACAGTTTCTGAAAACTTGTCACTAGCAAAACCAATTACCAGCAGCAGAAAAGTTTCAAATACATAACTGACCTATTTTGTGCTTGAGAAGTATTTCAGGAATTTTGGAACATACCAAATACAAATATGATTCTGTTGAAGAGATCTTACAATGCTTCTGGGAAAAAAACATTGTGGCTGGGATTGTTTCTTTTTTGTGGGGGGGGGAGGATGGAATAGCTCTGTAAGTGGAAGCTTTCTATATCTTGGCTGGTATTCCTCAAATAGTCAATGATCATAATCAGAAACTAGTTCCATGAAGCAGATTGTGGTTCATCAAACTGTTCTGTAAGACAAAGCTATAGAGCTAATATGCCATATAAGAAAACATGGATCCTGACAGTGGCGTTTACAAAGGTAAATGAACTTCAGATTTTCTTAGCATTTTAATACAAGCCTATGCATTTCTAGAACTTTTGCAGGATTTGGGGGACAAGGGAAGAGAGAAAGTATAGTTTTAAGTACAAATAAAAGAACACTGAAAATTGTGTACTGTATATCTAGTCAAGTAAACAAAACTAAGTATATGTTGCTGCCTCATTACCAGAATGGGGGGAAAAATCATAACATAAAGACAGCAGTTAAAAATATTTGGGAATGACAGTTAACAAATCAAAATTTTATTGAGGAGGAGAATGAATTTGGATAATGCTTGCTACCATTCAGTCCAAAATTTTTTGTCTTCTTGTCTGCTGCCTAAAAACATAAAAATTAGAATTTACAAAACCATAATTTTGCCTGTGGCTCTGTATGGGTGTGTCTGACATTAAGGGAGGAACATAGACTGAGGGTGTTTGAAAACTGAGTGTTGAGAATATTTGGACTGAAGATTGATGAAGTGACAGGAGGTTGGAGAAAACTGCATAATGAGGAGCTTCATAACTTGTGCTCTTTGCCAAGTACAATTAGAATGACTAAGTCAAGGAGGATTAGATGGGCAGGGCATGTAGCATGGATAGGGCGAAAAGGAATGCATATAGGATATTCGTGGGAAAGACAGAAGGAAAGAGACCACTTGGAAGACAAAGACATAGGTGGGTGGATAATATTAAAAAGGATCTTAGAAAGGATGTGGTGGTATGGACTAGTTTGATACGATATGGACCAATTTGAGCACTCAAGTGATCACTGTAATGAAGCTTCAGGTTCCATAAAATGTTGGGAAATTCATGAGTATCTGCACAACAGGTGGCTTCTCAAGAAGGGCTCATCTCCTTGGAGTTAGTTACATCTGGTCAAATGAGCACAGAATCAAAGTACAACTTCATTCATTGCGAGTGGTTTCATAGGAAACATATCTATATTTCCAAAGATATTGTACTTTGATGTGTATTACTTAAGTGCTATCAGGGTACCGATGCTAATGATATACATCAATATCAAGACCAGGTATTCTGCACTGTAACCGCACCATGCAGGTACCTCAGCAATGTTTTTCATTTACATTCTTAATTACAATGTACTACAAGTAAACGAACTGTATTACTGTTAACACAAGATGATACAGAATTGACCCCAGCACCAGCAGACGCCAAGGACGGCATCTGGTCTTTCTGAGGGACAAGCAAGCTGCAGGTCACTTGAAACCCCCAGAACGGAGCAGGAAGTATCCCGCTGTGTTTTCTGGGAATTTCAATGCTTAACTTCGACGGTGCTAGTCTTTGAAAATTTGAGACTTGACAGATACGAGTCGCATTAATTTTCAGAGGGGCGTACCGAGCGATCATTAGTGTACCTTCATTTATTTGAGAGCTGTCAGAAGGACCATCTTGTACTTAGACACAAATTAACATGGATCTTATTAGGGATTGGCAGAATGTCAATGAGAGTAACACCCAAATTTTTTAAGGTTCAGCCAATCAGCAAAATTTCAGAGGAGAGGAAACTGGGCGTTCCCGGAACCATCAGGACTTCTGCCTCTCCAGAGCAGTCAGTCATCAAACGGGAGTAACAGGAGCCAGTCGTTTAAAGTGAGTAACTGGGGTCAGTCGCCTTAGTGAGTAAAAGGAGTAACCACCCGGAAGTTAAATCGGTGTTGGCTGAGTCCAGTACACAAATTCAAAGTACTACAGCCTTGTAATGTGTAATTCTAGTTCACGTCTATAATAAAGAGCAACAGTGTTTGTGAAGTGTGAGTTTTAAGTGTTCTCTCTCTCCTTGTGTGAGCAAGGCCCAGAAGTCGCCCTGAGACAGAATCTCATCCTACCGTCTGAGCAGTCTGAACCCCAAACCTCCCGCCTATCCATATCCCCACCTTTTTTTTCCCCATTCCAAATTCGTGGCTTTCACCCAAGTCCACTGGCGCCCATACAAATCCAAATTCAGAGTAATCCCACACCCTACCCTGAACCAGACAGCAACAAGGAAGCGGAGGATGAAAGTGGAGACCAACGTACGGGCACTAAGAGGACACTTATAAGTGGCGAGTTATACGTGACGCCAAACGTGTAGGCGAATGTGAGGGCGGTTATAGCACCAAAACAAGTTTCAAATAAAACAGTTATTTTAATTAAGAATTCAAATAGAGGTTCTTATAATTAAATTAAAAACAGGAACTTAACATGAATCTAGCTGTCCCACTGCACACTTAAAGATAATTCGTACTGGGTTTCAAAACCTAAATGTTACTGCAAAACTACTCTGACATAATTCTGTTATGTGAAACCACAGTGTGGGTAATACTAACATGAATACACAATTTGCTGAAAAATATCAATGTTTCTGAGTGAAATGAATATGTAAACACTTAACTTTGAGTCATCCACTGAATTTTTGTGTGTAACATGTATCATGAAAATTATGTTGCTGTTATTTATTTCACCACAGACAGTACTAAGATTTCTATATTTGAAGGATTTATTTAACACTAGTTTTTAACTTCATATATCCATGTTTTTAGTGCTTCAAGAACACTTTTCTCCCCCCAATAAAGACCCTGGCAACTGATTCGAGTGGTCATGTGGTATAATGGTGGATGTCCTCAGGTTATTTACACACTGGAATCATGATTTCATATCCTACTGGGAACATTTCTCTGTATGTCCTGTACCATATGATATACCAAACCTCCACATGCCTCCTGTCTAAACAGAATTTAGAAAACTTATGTGATTACAGGAGGTCACAGATCAAATGTATCTATAATGTTTATCAGTATGAATAACAAGAACAAGGGGCTGACCTAAAAAGTAATGACTTGTATAAAGTTCAACATAATGCCCTGGCAGTCAGACCACAACTAGACTACACACTTAACTTTATGTAAGCTCACATAACCTCATTTAAAATTGGTCCATTTGATGAAAAATTTATGGTTTCAACCTTCTGTCCAGCATTATTGTTCCATGAACACATCTTCACAACCAGTGAAATAATATGGCACGTAGACCTGTTTATAGGCAACGACTGCAAAATAAGCACCTATACAACAGTTGTTACCATGCTGCGACCACAGCGTTTTCTGTGCATTCCGTGCTGAGATGTTATAAGCAAGACAAGTTAGGAGTTGATTGGTGAGGAGTTAGTTAGTCAGAGGACTGCTTAGTTTCAGCTGTGCTGAGCTGCTGCTGTTAGAAGCTGGTAGCTGAGGCTAGGGACTATTCGGGAACCAAGAGGAAGGGGAATGTCCACGGTTGAAGCCACTACCAAGCAATGGCAGTGAAGATGTGACTGTGGCCACTAATGTGTGTGTGTAACAGTTTACTATAAAGTTTTATAATTTTATAATTGTTTAGTCACATGCTGTATCAAAGAGTCCAATAAATCTGGTTATCATTCCAAAAGCCATCTATAGTTACACTCCATATCACATGACAATATATTCCCTCATGTACAACCATGAATTTAGTACCTGTGTGCTGTTAAAATTTCTGAATTTGTATCAGAACAGAATACATGGTAAGTGTATAGGGAAGGCTGAGGGCCTGTTGCAAATCTTTTGGCAGGCTGAGCAGAAAGGACATGCTATTTGCATCACCTAGCATTGTGCAGATGGGACTTGTATAGTCAGCAGGCTAATAGCCTGTACACATTACATTTTTTCTCTGAACAGCTACTGTTAAGTGAGCTTAAGTGTTATGTGCCTGTTGATTATAATTTAAGTCCCTGCTGTACTGTGTCCAAATTCAGAAGCCTAACAGACTGTCACATACATGGATTACAACAACAATATGGAAACAATCTGACTTGCTCTGAGCATAACAATATTATATGTAACCCAGAAATGTAATTACATATTTTTACTGCATTGGATTTTTCTTGGAGGAGTCTTGAACACAAATTCAGACTGTGGTATTAAAATGATTAACTATACAAGATATGGGATTTCATGGCTATGAATATTAAAACTGCGGTCTTCTGGGATATGAGACTATGAAGTAACACTGAGTAATCTGGTAGAAGTTTACCAACATTTTGGAAGAATGTACTGCCTCCATCTTCACGGTCAATGTATAAGCCAAACAAGCAAGAAGCAGGCTGCTGCCTGCAGGCAGAGCCAAATTTGGCACTGACCTTAATATAGTTGTGTTGTGATGGTTTTAATAAAGAAATTATATATTATAACTAGGGCCCGGAGCTTTATGCGCTAAAAACACTTAAAATATGCACTAAAATCACTTCAAATACGTGCTAAAAAGCGGGAAAATATGCACCAAAAATAAAACAATATGTACTTAAGAAACAGGTCACTTTCTTCAGACTCATCTATTTACATGTATCATTCACTGCAGAAAGTAGCATCACAATAGGCAACTAGAAGTCTTTCAATGTTTTCTGGAGACAAACTACGTCTCTTGTTCATCAAAATGAGTTCATAGGCTGAGAATGATCTTTCTACATCAACTGACGTATTGGACAGTATTTATACACTGCGCCAAAGGTTCAGAACATTCATTTGGCAGACACCCTAATTCCACTCAAGAACTGAATAACTGACTGAATCTTTTTTAGTCCTGGGTTCAAATTCAACACAATTTCTAACTTGCATTTAATCGTCTCTCCAATTTAACCTGGAGCGGAATTCAGTGAACAAGTTGCTTTCTGAACGAGTTCAAGTGAGTCGTGATGGAGTGCACCACAAGATTTTAAGCTCTCAATGGCTTTTGAAATTCACATCTTGGTAAACAGTATCACATCCAAACACCACTTTTACTTCAATGACACACGCATACTCATATTAAAGTTTTGCAACCACTTCTTTTAATTGATTGAAATTCTCCTGATAAAACAAAACTGCGGATAACCATGTCCCCCCCTCCTAGTTAGGGCAGGTTCAGGTGGCAGAGGAACCTGAGGTATGCAATCTTTGTAGAACTGGACATGAGCTGGTGCTTTCAGAAAGTTTTTTTCCCACTTGCAATTATATCGTTAACAGCTGGAAACTGTGCACATATTTTTTCTGCAATACGCTGTAATCCGTACGCTAAACAGGTTACGTGTATAAGATTTGGATAAAATACTTGTAAGGCCTTTGCTGCTTTCAAAATATAGGAAGCTCCATCTGTGAGTAGTACAGGCACCTTACAACAATTATTCTCAATTTCAGATAGCCATAGTAGTCGCAGAGAATCATATACAAATTTTGTTATTGTGCTGTGGTTGGTTTTCTCTACTGCTTTGCAAGCAAGAAGATGAAGTTTGTCGGGTTCATCTGGATGTAACTTACCAACCACAAAATTTGCTATGCATCGACCACATAAATCAGTTACCTCATTCATCGATATCCAGACACAGTTCCCTCCGATGTCAGAACGTACACGATATTTTTCCAGAAATGATCGCACAACTGGATTGCTTAATTTATTCCATGGAATGTTGCTGCATACTAAAGCCTTACAAAGATCGGCTGAAAATGTATTAACAGAGGACTTGGGTTGGACCTGTGTAAGAAGTAGTTGTTGTGGTGTGCTGTTCTTCTTCCCCTTCTTTGCCATAATATGTGCAGTCGTTCTTGAGTGTTGTTCAAGTTGAAATTTCTTTTTACATTTTACTTCCTTTGCGCGAACTTGATAGTACATGACGACACCGTCTGTTGAATAGTCACTATTACCTGACATCCACCAAATTTTTAAATATCTACTGCTGCACTTTTCTTTAGGCATTTTCAGTACATGAACACTTTTTTGATGCAGAATATTAAAGAAAAGAATAACATATTAACTGAAGAGACTTCTCTTGAGACCAACCCTCTGATGCTACTGTCTGCTGTGGTGGTCAATGGAAAGCAGAATAATCCCACCCCCTCCCTTTCGAAATAGCCAAGCTATCTGCTTGTATTGTAAGTGGTAAAAGTGCCGTTACCCAGAGAGTTGAAAATAGCAACTGGCAAGTGATGTCCAAAACACAGGAAAAACCGATTTTGTTAGAGAATATTGAAATTATCCTTAATTTAAAACATATATGCAGAACTATGCTCTTACGTTTAGAATATGCAATAACGACCAAAAACCCTCAAAATATGCATTTGCATATGCGCATATGCATTTTCAAAAAATCCGGGCCCTAATTATAACACAACAGGATGCATGAAATTAAATTTATAAATGTTGCTTTTCTGTTGCTTGGTTTATTCCTTGAGACCCCAAAGATGGAGACAGCATGTTCCTCCAAAATGGCCATGAACTATGTTGTGGACTACATAGTGTAACATCCCAGAAGATGGTATGGTTCAGGTCACTGCTGCAAAAAACTCAAATCCTACATAATACATTATTGCTAGCCTGTCTGTGCTGAGTAATAAGTGGGGATGTAAATACTGTTAGCCTGTCTGTGCTGAGTAATAAGTGGGGATGTAAATACTGTTAGCCTGTCTGTGCTGAGTAATAAGTGGGGATGTAAATATTCCCTAAAAGCCAACTAGATCATAATTTTGACATATAGCATTTGTACTGAGAATTGATTATAAAAAGTTCAGCTTCTAATATTTTTCATCTTAGTACTTTTAACTATAATCTAGTAATGACAATCATAAAATAAATACTTAATGATTAGTAATGAATGTATGCAACTTAAATCATAGCCTGAAAAATGTCTTCAGTTACTTCTTGCATTATTACTTAAGCAGCAGCAACATGAAATAATGACCCTTATGTGCATGTTTATACAGTTTTAAGACTGACAACAGTTGGTCGGTATCTACGGCTGGTAGAATCCATGTTGACGTGTGGGATATGTGGTGCATGTATATGAGGTTTAGCCAGAAATCGTTGACCAGCAATATCAATTTCATATCTTGCATTACGAGCCATGATGAATTCATTTGTAACTACTGGACGATCATTTGAACCTCCCATGGTCATGCCAGGGTGTCGAATATAACCAACACATATCAACTTGTCCAATGTAAATCCATATCTGTAATGAGTACAAAATAAGATACAGTGGAAATTTAAGTTAACATTTTCTGGTAGACAGTGCATTTAAACCCTTAAATTGGGATAAATATTAAACACAAAAAGTACTGGAAACTATTAAAATCTTCATATAATTGATCTTTTTCAACAGCCCTTGATAGGTAATGCCCGCAACATACCTGCACGAAACAATCGAAGAACTGTGTTTTCTATGGGAGTCTGTGAAGATAGGACTTAAGCAGAAGGCATAGGAACAGCCACTGTTGGAGCCATCACCAGGAAATGCCTAGTAATGAACTGAGAACACTAGGCTGTGTGCTCTTGTCAACTGTAAAGTGTGGAGATTAGCAATGGCGCTGTAATTACTTGCAGTTCCGAGTTGTGGGTATAAGTGGTCAATAAATCTATTCACCAATCAAAACCCCGTCTATAGTCACACATACACTGTGACTACCGGTGTCAGATGTGGGTGGATTGGAAAATGCAATGGATCATTGTATCATCAGCCTACAAAAACTGAACAATTGGCGGAACTCCTGAAAGCCATGCAAGAAATGATGGAAGCACAGATAGGTTCTCTAGCCTCCCGGATGGATATCCACCAAACTGAGATGAGAGCCAGCCACAAGAAGATAATGGCAGAAATGAGGGCCTGGCGAAAAGAGATGAAGGCCTGTCTAGGAAAAATGGTGGCCATGGATTTGGAGGCAAAGCCAGAAGAGAAAGAGTCTGTAGCTGTGCATGAGGAGGTCCCTAAGGAAGAGGTCACAGTGAAAACTGTCAGAGCACTGAAGAAGCAGTATGGGGACCAGCATCTAGCCGAAGAGCACTGCCAACAGCTGCAGAATGGTGAGTCCCATAAGAAGTTGGCTGCCACCTGCAGACAGATCACCTGCCATATCATTCCTGCACAGCATAAGGGACACTGCTGTCAGGGACAAGGCTGTACCAAGACCCCAGAAAGGACAGACTTTCAGAAAGAGATGTCAGGCAAAACTAGAAGGCATCAGTGGAATAAGGGACTGAGACTTAAAGAATCAACTATGTCTGAGAAAGAAGAGGACATCTGGCAGGATCTTTGGGAAAACCATCTGGCTAGGGATCTTGAAGTGAACAGTCAGGTCTTCTGTCACGATTCAAAAAACGAGTGACTGAATATTGTGGAGAGGTTGGCCCCCTCTGAAATGAAATAAGAGGCTGCACACAGAATAAGAGATGGAAATGTAGGAGCACTGACCAGTCTAATTAGTTTGCCCGCACAGACTGAAAGAAGGATCTTTATTGTTTGCATCCTGTTGTGTGTAATGATGTGGAAAATAAGGTTGGTAGTACAACCTTGGTCCTAGAGCAAATGCTGAGTTGGTACCCAAATTCCACGTTGCACTGCATGCTTCACATGCAGCCCCCCCAACAGTAACATCATGAAACTTATTATACTATAACTACACAAGAATGACATGTCTTATATCATGTATAATGATCCATGGACACGAAATAAATGGAATGGAATGGACCTGGACTGACTGACACCCAATAAGCGGCCTTAAGG